CTAAGCAGATGTATGTGCATGTGTGGCGTATGTAAACAAATCCACTCAGCTAATACCACCGCCGAGAAAAGGTTGTGACCCTGATTTTCAGTGTACCCTAAAACTGAGTGAGTACCGGACGTGTAATTTTGGATCATTCATCAATAAGTATCATGGAGGTGCGTTTCAATTGTAAACCGAACTAAGCGTATCGCTAGCTGTCGTTCCTAGTCACTTTGGAGGTCTGCGAAATAGCAAAACAACCTGTACGAGTAAAATAACTACATACAGAAGAGAGATTTTCAAAGCGTACTTTAATTTGTAGAAAGGAAACGAAATGGAATTTTAGCGGAGTGTAATTTAGAGTGCTTTGCAGACAACTTTGCTCGGATTAACTTGGTATACCAAACTATTGTTTAATGCTTGCTAACAGCTTGTTGTCAAAGTTTAGATAGCTTGCCCCGGGACCCATTTGCTCAGAACAATTTTGTCACAGTCCTTTATTCTACAGCTTTATAACTCAAATATAAAAAATACAAAGTTAATTCAAAGAGAAAAAATGTCTGTTGCTTACACAAAATCATAATTATTTATTTGTATTTATACATTTAAGGTTTTAACTTAATTACGTTCCGTCGTATGTATTACAATATGGTCGAGTGGGTATGAGCATTCAGTGCGGAACTGCTGGCTTTTTTCACTATTTCAGAGACCCCATAATAAAAATTTATCGCGAGTGGGACGACGGTTTTTAACACTCTGTATAAACTAAGATTGGTGGCGTAAATTTGCCCTTTCTGTTTTTCCTATCGCCGCAAGCAATGATTAAAACGATTATTGAATCGATGACAACCTAACTTAGTAGAGTAATTGAGTTGACGAATGCTTACACAAACTTGGTTTCCTACGAGCGCAAGCAACTTCAAACAGTCTAGAAGCGACAAATCGACTTTCAATATAAACATTTCGAGAACATGAAAATAAATAAACATTTATGTGGGCATGATTCGTTACTTTTGGGAACAAAATTGACAGAAATATTTATTATTTTCATTTTATTGAAAATCATGATGTTTTTACAAGCATGTTATTTATCTATTTTTCGTGAAAATATTCCACTAGTTCGTTATTGTCATTTATAGATCGAACAAACACAAGGAACAAATCTTTCGATCCTACTAGACTCGAAACAGAGTCCGCTACCGCTCTGCCAACTGAGCAGTAGAGCTCCTTGTGGAAGAGTTCGTCCAAGAAAGTAATGCCACCCTAACTAATTCTGCCGCCAATCACTGATGTGAGCATTGCTGCACTCCGGTTTAGGATGGTAAGGGTGCTGCTGAAATTACAGGCACATGGGACTTGTCAAGTTATGTTTCAGGGTGACAGACACAATGGCAGCGTCCCTTGATTTTTGCGATTTAAAGCTCTGAAAGGCATTGCAACTGTTATGTATAGCCGCGTCCCTTTTGCTGTGGTTGCCTAATGGTTTGACCTACCGCCCCTCAAGCAGAGGCCGCGGGTTCAAACTTCGGAATTTGCTAAATTAATTTTAAGTTTACTATGGGCTTTTCGGTTAGGAAAAACATCGTGATGAAACCTGCACGTCGAAGAAGATTTACATCCCTAAGAAAACGCGATGTCTGCGTGGGGGTTCCAACAGCATCCGGGCCATTGTCAGTAATAGTTTTGATTGGCCCATCCAAACCCACTGGATGGACATAGAAGTAATGTAATGTAATCTTGTAGTGCATGTGGTAACCTATCACAAACTCGATTTTTTTTTCCCGAAATAAAGTTTGTTCGAATTTTCATTACACGGAAAACCGAATTATAACGAAACCGTTATTCTTTCAGGATATGTTGGATGTTTATCGCAAAGACACGATTAGGTTTGGTTTGGTTAGGATAAGTAAGGTATAACAGAAAAAATATTTTCCTCTCAAAATTACTTTCAAGGTTATGAAAATTCGAGCAAACGTTATTTCTGGAAAATGTCATTTCGGACTACTGATAGGTAACCAGTGCATGTACATTATTTTAATTTTTCTTCATTAATTTATTTGTATGTAATTCAATGTATTTTAAGTGAATTAATTTCATTGTTTTGTCTGATTTGTTAATGTTGGATTTAGATGTGCGTGTGTACTGATCAATTTGGATATGGATTAATATTCCGAATTAAATGCTTAGAATTTGAATTACTGCGTTCTAGTTGCAAAGGGTAGGTGCTGGTGACATTACGGTGACATTACGGTGACATTACATGGGACTTGCTAAGTCTTAAAGTGTTGGGCGCCGTAATAGTGCCACTCAGATCTTTGCGATTTAAATCTCGCAGCATTGCAACTGTTATGCACTGTCACTTAGTATTATATAAAAAAAAATAAAAACTGAGCTATGGATTTGCTCACAAACAGATCTTATCAACTTCACTATGTACCTGTTGCGGACCTTGGTCTGGGATTTTAAACTTATGATTTAATTTTGGAAAAGTTGTCGTTTTGAACATTAGGAGATTCCGCAAAAAGATACAGGTCACGCGTTGCATTTGGATCACTTTGCAGTTATACCATTAATGGTATAGCTTGTACCAATGGAGCAATAAATATTTTTGATGTAACTTCTCTTACGCCACTCTTCCGTGATGGGTGCGAGTTGATAATAACATAATTATATAAATAGTACTACTTGTTCGTTATTCGCGTTCTGCGTTCATCATCATTACTAATACCAATATATTCAGAAGCAATACATGTATTGCTTGTGAAGGCATGACGCATACATAAGGCGTTCCGACTAGGTTGGTTAATTTATGGGATTTAGCAGGGAGTGAACGCGTGAACGCGTGACCGCCTTCTATTTGCGCCTTGTAGAGCCGTTACGTGTGTCACGCAAAATTACTTCAATGTTCTTATAACCATAAGCATACTTGTGTACGAAGAAGTAAGAAGATATTTGTATTTTTAGGTATAACTTTGCATGCTATATTATTATGGGATCATCGAAACCCACGTAGAAAACTATTAGTTTACTTTAGAGCTTTAGAAAAGCATACGGACATTTTGCTTTGGGGTAACACCACCAATATTAATAGAATCCTTATCCTGCAAAAACATGCGGTTAGGGCAATGTATAATCTGGTCCTCTCAGTGTTTTTGTGATAGAATTAAAGAAATTAACATCCTTACACAGCTTCACAGTACATTTAGGAAAATTTAATTTTCCCTTCATTTCAATTAAGAACACAATTCTTTTATGAAAAATAGTGATAAACGTAACATTAATCAGAGAAATATAAATAGGTAAATCTGACTGCTCTTAACAGTCGTCTTAACAAAGTCACAAACTCATTTAAGGGGAAATTTACAAAGTTCTTTAGCAATATTCCGGTCGAAAATATTTGTCATTTACGAGGTTAAAACGAGGTGAAACAAAAACGTTTACTAAAGGTCAAAAATCAATGATAGTGACCCGTTTAGCTCTTGGGGGTTGTCTTAATCTATGCTTATTAATACAAAGATCGAGCACTCAGAAAAAATCCTTCGATCCGTTCGGATTCGAACCGACGTCTTCTTGCATACCGTGCTAGACGTTATACCAACTAAGCCACGGAACGAACCAACGGACCTCACGAATTTTTCTATGTGCTTGCGTCGTGTCTTTGTACTTGGTCTTTCAACGACTTTTTAGTCGTAGCGCCATCTATGAGAAATCTTTGACAGATTTATCACCCAGTTAGTACCTTTACAGCTACCAGTCCTGGCGAGAGATGTCGCTATTCACTGTATTAATTAAATTTTTATTGAATTGATATTCAATTATTTTTTGTGAAATTACTCCACTAGTTTGTTATAATTATTAATACAAAGATCGAACACTCAGAAAAAAATCCTTCTGAGTGTTCGATCTTTGTATTAATAATTATAACAAACTAGTGGAGTAATTTCACAAAAAATAATTGAATATCAATTCAATAAAAATTTAATTAATCTATGCTGTTTAAAATAAATATTCTAAGTGATAAATGTGGAGTTTCTTACTCATTGGATTTATTAATTGGAATCTGTCTTACGATTGAGTAGTAGAGTAGAGTAATCAATGTGACGATTTCAAGTATAAGTTGCTAACTTATAAATAAGGATTACTTGAATTTTAAGCAGATAACCCCAGTACAGAGTACTAAAAAAACCGGCCTCAAACGTTCGTGGAATTACATCTATTTGCCAAGTTTTATTGAAATCGGTTACCGGAAAGTGTGCGAAACAGGATTCCCTACATCCCCTACTTTGCCACCCTTAGAGGAGGGATATTTTCTTCAAATTTACATGGGACTAATACTGAGGTACTTGCCCTCTTTCCAACAAAAATAATAATCAAAATCTGTTCACAAATTTATCGCGTAACATACATACAAAAACAAATAATAAAAATTAAAAATACAGGATACTAGAAGTGATAAAGCGGTGAAGTCTAGCTGTCTATTGCATTTCCTATATACTTATTATAAATACGTGTTTAGTTTTTTTGCTATTTTTACCGGCAAATAGACAAGCAGTTTGCGTGAAAAGTGGAAACCACCTCCAGTCTTTTTTTTCGATGCCAAGTCATGGGAAAAATAAGTTATGCGCCTGGTAGTAAGCGACACGCCTGTCCATAGCAGTTGCAGTGCCGCTCAGAGCTTTAGATCGCAAAGATCTGAGGCGCACTGCCAGTACGGCCGTCTCTTTGGAAACGCAGTAACGCACATTATTATTTAGCGACAGAAATAGGTAAGGTGGCAGTAATTCCCTGGACAAACTCTGTCACAGGGAATTCTACTGCTACTAATATGTCTCCTGTTATTATTTGCGCGAGTTCTCCCTATTTTATAGTGATATCTTGTATACAAACCACTATTGCCCTAACACACGTCCGTTGTGTACTAGTGATGTAATATGAAATCCAAAATTAACTTAAGTGGCAATTATACTAAATAGGTTGTATTTCACCTTACTATAGATATATGTTATCAATGGTTTTACCTTTAACTGTTCCTGTTTATAATCCGGCTGGTACGGCAGCAGCATTCGAATCTTGCCCCACCGGTTGAAGAATAGCGCTATGGCACCAATCCATACCAACAACACCATCACTACGATTCCAATTTCTACCCCTCGTATCTGCAAGAAAATATGATTGTTAAGTGTTTATTAACGATGACGAATTGGTTACGTACTTAAGGTTTAGGTTTATATACTTTAAGACCTTTTACGCGTGCAGCCTGTGGACAAGATTAACTATGTTTTAACTTTAAAGTGTTATTGTTACAATAGATTCAGAGTGCTGTTGGGACTACAACGCTTCTGTAGCGCGTCAGGAATGTTCGCGGAGACGCGTACTGAGAGCTTCAGTGCAATAATACGCAAGAGAAACTGATGCACTGTGTGGTTCCAACAGCCTTGTGAATTTAATTTGTGAGTACCCTGCTAGCGCTATTTGGAAGCACTGGAACTCAGTGCACATGAGTTTCAGAGGCTTAGTTTATAATTTAATAACAATAATAATTTTCTATACTAACATAGCCTGTAAGTTTTTGTTACTAACACATTATGGACAAGATCTGAATTAAAATTTTTGAATTTAAATTTGAATTGAGTTTAAAAGAGAAAGCATGCTAAAAGCGTAAATGCATGTTAGAACATATTGTCAGGGATAGTGCAATTACGCGTAATTACGCGTAACTAGATTTTGATTATGAGTCCATTTCGGTAATTTAGTAACCAAATTAAATCCGCGTAAATGTCGTGGCAACCAAGTTAGTGTGATTTACGGGAATCTATTGTTAACTGTCCTTAGACACAATAAAATAACGTTAAATCCCTTTACTGCGAAATTTGGTTTGGTGCTAATACGCGCTTTTTACCAATACTAAATACTGAGTATGCTTGAAATAAACATACTTCAGGAGAAATATTTTAACGCGAGCCTAGATTTTAGGAGTTGATGGTCACCCTCGCATCGCGAAATCCGCGCGAAGTAAGTTAATAGGAATAAAATAAGAACAGACGGAGAAAATTTGACACAGATCTGTCGTCGACAAGCGACCGATAGCGATTGACGGAGCTGAGGGCAGCGCGGCGTATTGTTAAACCGATGAGCAATTCGCAAATTTTGGAATAAATGTGAATATAATAACTACAAGGCTCCATTGGAAAACCAAAATCTAGCAGGTTCTCTGTAGTACTTAAAGAGAAATATCTCCATATAAAAATCAAGTACAAAGTTAGATATTTTATTCTCAAATAATTCGTTTTAGACTTTATTTTAGATTGATTGGTTTTCAGGATATGATCGTTTAAAGTACATCCTGTCGTGTAACTAATTAGTACAATCTTTGGGCAATATAGTTAGGTGTATCGTATATTTTGTAAAACAGCGTTATTCAATAGTAAATACGTAAACCATTTGATCTCGTAAAACAGTTTTTTTCGCTTCGTCCTTGGCGACTCGCCTTAATGCCACTGTTTTTTATACATCGGACATTCTCCGACTAGTGCTCACTACCTGATTTCCATGGTAATTTTTAATATTCACGTATTCGATTTTTTATCATGAAATGTTATTTAATAATTACCCAATAATCTACTTGAATATTTAAATAATAAAAATTGCCACGGAAATTAGTGAACATTAGTTCAAGAATGACCGACTTATACTACGGGTAGAATTTGCTTAACAACAGCACAATCTTTGCTATTAAGACTGCCTTTCCGCTAGAGATGTGCGAGGCGCTGTGAAACGGCATGATGATGCGCCAGAGAATGCGTTATCTACGAACTCTTTTCAGCTAGGCGCGGGCGGGGTACGGTGTGGTAGGGTAAGCGGTGGCGATATGTCAGTGTCAGTTAGTGTCATACTTTTAGTAGCTCTAGATTCCTACATCGTTTTGCACACATTCCTCGCTCACATTCCGCGCACACATTTCTCGCTATTTTATATATATAAATACTTAACTCCGCTGACACTTTTCCACCGGAGCTGCGCTAAGCGAGGCTAGGAAAATGTAGTAATCCTATTGGTGAATTTTTTCCTCATGCACTGCTTGCAGACTGCTTGTTGTAAAGGCAGTCTAACAAGCATGTGCAACGAATGTCAGCTCGGCAACAAAGATAAAATCAAACTATTTTATTCATATTTTTATACTACATCTTTCGGAAAACACAATATTCTATCGACTTTACTGATAAGAAACTACAATTTAGTTATCTATTTCGTAAAATTGTTTCACTTAGTGGAATTCGAATAAAAATAACTACATAAAGAAATTCTCAATCTATATTATTGATACAAAGGTCAAATACAAAGAAAACTTCTTCGATCTGATTGTACTCAAACCAATATCTGTTCATGAGTTCACATCCGTTTAACAAAAATCTATAAGAAACACTGAGAAATTCGTAAGATCTGCTGACTCGATCTGTAGCAACAGACACTGGTTCGAGTCCACTCAAATCGAAGGAATTTTTCTTTGTATTCTATCACAAAAATATATATGAAAATCATGATGTTCAATAAATAAATAGATATTTTATCAATCAAAATCAATAAAATAGCAGATGATCAATGCATGCATACACTAAACAAACTCACCGTTGGAAAGGTGGGTGAGGGGTCGGGTGGACCCACCGAAGATCGGGGCGTGGCGTCAGCTAGCCCCCCGTCTTGCTGCGGTGATGTCCGAGGCGGCTCTGACCAAACAGAGACAATTTATTTTTTTCTATTTTTTAAATTTATTAATCTTTTCGTAGACGGTGCCAAAGTTTACCGAAAAATTTAATATTAATAAGTGATAGTACGGGGTACCCCGTTTCACAATATGGATCTCATAAAACCAACTACGGGCTTTGCAGTGTTGGTTCCATAGAGAAGTATCAACAATATAACTGCAAAATTCAATGATTTACAAACTTGGAACATTTTATGTAGAATCAATTTAAGCACTTCAACTAGAAACGTATTGGCATTTTTGTGTGCCTTAGTATTTAAGTACTGTACGGGTTAAAAAGTTTAACGAGTATTTAAGTCAAAGTCAAAGTCAAAGTCAAAGATTATTTATTCCATAGGTAAAAAAAAATTACACTTGAAAACGTCACATTTAAGCTACATTTAAGCTACTGCTCGTTCACTACGCTGACCTCCCTGAGAAGAACGAGCAAGAAACTCTAGGGATTGCTCTTTTCAAAAAAACTTAAATGCTATGGAATACACTTTGAATCAAATTTGTGTGGATTCTGGAGCCATGTCGTCTTTCCATACATCTTTATCTAACACGTAGTCTTCAATTTTGTAATATGATTTTTCGATCAAAATATTTTTAATGTAGTTTTTAAACTTAGGAAATGATAAACTTAATATATGCTCCGGAATCTTATTGTAAAAACGTATACAGTTCCCCATAAAAGAGTTGTTTACCTTGGTTAAACGAAATCGTGGTACCATGAGTTTGGACTTAGCTCTAAGGTTAATATTATGGATATCTTCTTTCTTATTGAAATTATGTAAATTTTTACGGGCATATAAAATATTTGAGTAAATGTACTGTGATGCCACAGTCATGATACCAGTCTCCTTAAACTTTTCTCTGAGAGATACCCGAGAGCCTAGACGGTACACAGAACGAATCGCTCGTTTTTGCAATACAAATATGGTTTGAATATCTGCCGCTTTACCCCACATGAGAATCCCGTAGGACATTATACTATGGAAGTAACTAAAGTAAACTAGTCTAGCAGAACTAACATCGGTAAGCTCACGTATTCTGCGGACTACGTATGCAGCGGAGCTTAATCTGCTGGCCAGGGACGATATATGTGGAAACCACTGAAGTTTACTATCTAAGGTCACTCCCAAGAAGACTGCTTTATTAACAAGGTCTAACTTTTCTCCGTTTATTTCTATGCTTGGACTAGTCGATTTTACGTTAGGTAATTCAAATTTAACACATTTTGTCTTCTTGGCATTAAGCAATAAATTGTTAGCATTAAACCAATAAACTACCTTAGAGAGGGTATCATTAATACGGTCATAGTTAATGTCATGTCTGTCTGTTTTAAAAATCAAGGATGTGTCATCAGCAAACAACACTATTTCGCAGTGGTCCTTAACAAAGAATGGCAGATCATTAATATAAATCAGAAATAAGAAAGGTCCAAGTATTGAGCCCTGCGGAACACCCATTTTTACTGGAGAACCCAAAGAAGTTACTCCATTTATGTCTACGTTCTGAATTCTACCGTTGAGATATGACGAGACAAGTTTCGACGCCTTGCCATTTACACCGTAATGTTCTAGCTTCCTAATAAGAGTATTATGATCAACGCAATCAAATGCCTTTGAGAGGTCACAGAAAACACCAATAGCGTTCTGGGACCTTTCCCAAGCATCAAAGATGTGTTTTAGTAACGCTACCCCCGCATCGCTAGTCGATCTACCACTAGTAAACCCGTATTGTTCACTATGAAAAATATGATTCCTACCGAAATAGGACAGTAATTGAGTTAGCATAACCTTTTCGAATATTTTACTTAAAGCTGGTAAAATTGAAATGGGCCTATAGTTGCTAGGATCAACTTTCCTACCGCTTTTGAATAAGGGAATAACCTTGCTGTATTTCATTAAATCGGGAAAAACACCTTCATCAACGCACCTATTGAAAGCTACAGCTAACTGTGGGGAAATGAGATTAATAACTGAGTCTATAACTTTAGTTGATATGCCCCAGAGATCTTCAGTTTTTTTAACATGTATTGACTTAAAAGCTTTTATGATGTCTTGTGGATTAACATGACGAAAATTAAATAAACTGCCACAAACGTTAACATTTTCCTTTAGGAGATCAATAGCAAGTGAAGGGGAGGAATTTAATTATTTTGTAGTGTTCACAGCAATTTCCGAAAAGAACGATTCAAAAGCTTGGGCTACTTTATCTTTAGATTTTATAAGTTTGCTGTCTAATTCTAAAACTATATCTCTATCGTGTAGTTTAACCCTGCCTGACTCTTTATTTATTATGCTCCAAGTAGTTTTAGATTTATTTATCGATTGTCTAATTTTGTCGCTGTGAAACTTAACCTTAGCAGCTACACAAACTTTTTTAAATATTTTCGAATAAATTCTAACATATTCTATGAAATTGCAATTAGTATTATAGGTTTTCATAGCATATAGCTCATACAAACGAGACCTACTCTTATGAATACCTGCTGTTGCCCAGTCGTTGAATTTAGTCTCTCTATGGAAAGTTAATGTTTTCGATTTAAATATATTGTCAAATTCATTTTTAATTAAACCAAATATCGTGTTATATAAAGTATTTGGATCCTCCGGTATATGGGATAGGGAATTTAAACTATTGCCGATATTATTTTGAAATCTAATTATTCGTTCTGTGGTAATCGGTCTGCAGAGAAATTGGTCTACCTTCTTGCTCATTTTACAATTAAAAGAAGCCAATTGGCCACTATGGTCGGATCTTAAGCAATTTATTATTGATTTAGACACTGCGTCTGTGTTACAAAAGATATTATCAATACAAGTAGAAGAGGAGGCAGTAATGCGAGTTGGTTCTAAAAAAAGATTAATCAAGTTAAAACTTTGAAATAAATTAATGAGTCTTACAGAAGTAGAACAGTTTTCCAACAGGTTTACATTGAAATCTCCACATATTACTACGTTTTTTTTGGTTGGAAAAATCCGCTTTAAACTGTCTTCCATAATTAATTCAAACTCGTTAAAATTAGCAGATGGGGGCCTGTATACACATAAGACGACAAACTGATCCAATTCCACACATGAAATCTCAATAGTTCGTTCAGTAGAAAGATTTGTGATATCCTTACGCTCTTTAAATTTTAAGTTACGCTTAGTAATAATCATGGATCCGCCTCTACTTAAGCTCTTTCTTATGAACGAACTGACTATTACATAATTTTCTATATTGTTAATGGCTTCGTAATCTTTCAGCCAGTGTTCTGTAACACAAAACACGTCAACGGAAATATCGTGCAAAAAAAGACTTATTTCTAATGTTTTGCCAGAAAAGCCTTGAATATTTTGATGTACTACATGGAAACGATTAGACTTTTCTGTTGTCGTGTTTTTCAGTTTAAATTATGGTTAGTAAAAAGTATACTGTTGCTACTTAAAGTAGGAGCATTGTCGTGGGACTGTGTTATATCTTCTATAACAGCGTCCTTAATATTAAAAGATAGCAAACTAGCTATATGTCTTAGATACCTTAGGGGTAAAAGTAAATTATCCTCAAAAAGTTTGAAGTTCCTTACGAACTTGCTATGTCAAAACAAAATATAACGTCACTATGTTGATATTATTTTATACTTCTGCTTGTTTTATCTCGAATTTTTATCCATTACATGCGAAAATGTTAAAATATGTTCCTCTCTTTACTTTTAAACAAGTAAATGCTTACTATAAACTCTTTGAATATATATGACACAACAAGAAATTTGTTTCTTTGTTTCACTATTAATGTACTTGTAGTGGTTAGTAATTAATTAATTTAATTAATAGCTCAAAATTGTGCTTAGCAGGTTTTAGGATGTAAAATTATGGCAGCGACATAAATACGTAACCCTCGGCGCACTAGTCACATCCTAGAAAGCAGCGGTTACGGGGATTTGAGTTAAAGTGATACTGAACATAGCTAACATAATTTTAAGAACGAATATTCAGATCTTTATAAACTAAAAGGCGGTCGACTTTTGTGTCTTCATACAGTACAGTAAACATCAAAATGATATGAGTGTCCGAATATTTGTTTAAAATTACCTGTGTAAGTGCTACAAGTCACTCAGATAGCTATGCAACGGGCTGTATTGGGTATCTCTCTCCGAAATCGATTCAGGAATATAGCGATCCGGAGACGAACGAATCCTATCGATACAGTCAAGGACAAGGAATAAGCCAGCGGAAAATTAAAATGGGCAGGCCATATAAGCTGTAAACAAGACTATAGTTTGGGTAGAAGGGTACTTGAGTGGAGACCCAGAGAATGGATCACAGGTGTAGGCAGGTAACCGATGCACTGTACTAACGACCTTGTCAAAGTCATTCGATTGAGCTCAAGGCAGAACTGGTATCAATCAGAGTCGTCTTAAGGTGGCAGCATTTACTTTATAGTCATTTACGATACTGAAGAAATATCCTTAATATCACATGATAAGATCTTAAGTCCTCACAGCAATGCTGCTTAGTCGTAGAGATACATTCTAGTGGTATATCCGAACACTGCACACTACCGTAATACTTGTACAGTCGAGACGATGTTTAATGAGAGTAAACCTTTTTCTATTATAAACATTTATCGTGTCCTTTCTACTAGTGCAAAACTAAATAAGCTTTCTTAGATCTGTGAACTTAGTTTAGACCCAGTAATATAAGTAACACAGTCGACATTTGCATGATGATAGCTATTGGAATTTTTTTTTATCTAAATGGCGTATGTACCTTACTGAGTCAGCCGTGACTGTGATCGGTTTGTTTGAAAAAAAATGAAATTTATTACAAACCGCAAAAACCTAAGAGCTCGATTTGATGATAAATATTTTTAGCAACACAACATGCTTTAGTAGAACTGCAGTGAACAACGAGTAAAAAGGCAGATGCTGTAAATGTCGGCGCCAATTTTAGAAATCGGTCAAAGCACTCGAAGAGGGTCGAGCACTACAGG